AAGTAAAAGTCAACCCAAAGAGAGTATTCATTCATTCATTCATTCAATACACTTCTTTGTAGTACCCACCCCATTGCAAGTATTATGTATTTTTCCAACTCTGACATAAGGGAGATGGCTGTCTAAATAATGAAGGTGACCCTAAATGCTACTAGCTTGCCCAGCACCTCCTCATAGTGTACTGATCCCCAAAGAACTGGGCACCACCTCTGACACCCTGTGGATCATAACATTCTGTTTAAACTCATACACAGATCTGGTACGTGTATATGTGGCTTATCTCCCCTTACAAACTAGAAACGCCACGAGGGTAGGAACTAACTCGTAGGTCTGCTAATCCTGGGTCTCCAACAGACTCTCCAATTGTATTACAGATGAAGAGGCTGAATGAACCTTAGAAAGTAAAGTCCAAAAAAACCCCCAACAGGACAAACAGATGACAAGTTCCCTCCATATATCTGAGAGACTGCATCTCTCTTAGTCAACACAAAACCCGAAGGCTGTAATTTGTAGGGACTGCATAGTTTGGTGTGATTCAGGGGGAATGGAAAATTAAAGGAGAGGGGACGAACATCAAAAGAAAGTTAATCGGTATAGATTACTGAAAGAAGGCCCAAGGTATTAGATAACCAAGATTGTGGCCTCTGTACATTGCAATGTAATCTTGGCTGAAGAAAATAAATGAGTGTAAGCTGAAGCCGAACAGAACTACAGTAGATCTTGTTTGTAAACAGACAAAATCAGCTATAAGTCACGACAGCAGACAAGCCGGCTTTTCTGTTAGCCTTTCGCAGGCAAGTAAAAAGACAGTTTACAACCCCAGTACTCGGATGACAGCGATGGCCTGAGAACTAACCCTGCCACAATAAACTCTAAATGGCTTGCTTTAGCATTCAAAGAAAACTGCATCCAAATGTGATTTCTTTCTCTCTTGGCCCTTGCAGCTCTCAATTAAGCATGCTATATAAAAGGTAATCCAAAAATTATCACAACTTCCAGGCCAGCATCCAAGCGAGGCTGCCCAGCATATGCAAGCATTAACTCAATCAAAAAATATTTATTGGGAGCCTATTAGGCCCCCAGTGTTGGAATACCTGGTGAGAAAGGTAAGTCTTTATCCTTGCCGGATGCTGTTGGGGAAGAGATTATAAATAAGTAAACAAAGCCCAGACGATTGCCGCGCTGTGGAAACAAAGGTGTGCCTATATTCGCGAGGAATGGGGGTGGTCAGGAAAGACTGAGCAGGAGAGTTTGCTGCAACAATTGGAGAGCCTGTTGGAGATCCAGGATTTCGACCTTGATGTTGAAATCTCAAGGAAGAGAAGGTATGTGCAGAGCCAGAGCAAGAGCACACCAGACAGAAGGAACAGCAACTTCAAAGACCCCAAGGCAGGACAGGAAAAGCCAAGGAGGCTGGGATAGCAGAGGGCAGCGAGGGTTGGGCAGAGTGGCGGGCACAGGCGGAGAGGGGGCACAGGCCAGCCTCTTGATGACTAAAGGGTGTACAAGTAAGAGAGTGATGGGATTTGCGAGTTGAAAAGCCAATCACTGGGTGTCCAGGGTGGAAAATGGACTGGGAAACACCCCAGAGTGGAAGCTAAAGGGCCTTTTAGGAAGTTAGTCCAGGAAGGAGGCAGCGGTGGCCAAGAGTAGAGTGGGAGCTAGGATTATCGGGAGAGGGGAATGCAGTCCTGGGAACAGACCCACAGGACCCACTGACAGCCTGGACATGGAGGGGTGGGGGTAGGTGAGGGAGAGAAGAATCCCGGATGACTCTTAGCAAGTGAATGGATAGCAGGGCCACTGACTGAGACGGGGAGGACGGAGAGGGGAGAACTCACAGGAATATCAAGAGCTCCATGCATGGTTGAGAGTCAGGAAGCCCATGGAAAACGTGGGACTGATCGGCATGTAGCTGATAGTTAAAGCCATGGCTGGGGATGACTAACATGACCTGGGAGGAGAGTGTTGACAGCGGAAAGGAACCAGGACCGGCAACCCCATCACTCCGAGGTCAGGCAGGGAGACTGAAAGGAACCATGGGGAGGTGAGAGGAGAACCGGGGTGCACTGGCAAGAAGCTGGGGGGGAGGTGTTTCAAGGAGGAGGGCGTGGCCATTGGTGAAGAACCCTGCTGAGCGGCAGAACAGGACAAGGACAGAGTCTGGCAACCTGCAGGTCATCAGTGACCCTGGCAGTTTCGGTGGGGAGATGGGAGCAGAAGCAGAGTGTAAGGGGTGAGCAAATGGTGGGCGAAGAAAATGAGTGGAGACAGTGGGTTTGGACATATCTTCTGAGATGTTTTCAGGTGAAAGGGAGCAAGGAAATGGAACTGAAGCAGGAGAGAAACATTAGATAAGAAAAGTTAAAGTGGTATTACCCATATGGCAGCCACTAGCGACATGTGGTTGTTTAAAAGTAAATTAAATTTAAAAATTCAGGTCCTCGGCCACTCCAGCCACATTTCCAAGTGCCCAACAGCCACGTATGGCTGGTGGCAGCCGTACTGCACTATGTAGAGCACTTCCCATGAGCACAGAAGTCCCGCTGGACAGCACTGAACTGAAGCATGCGGTACCCTGATGGGAAAGTGCCTGGAGAGAGGGAGGAGAAAGATGGGGAACTGTTTTCTGAGGAGGTGAGAGGGGATGGGATGGACAGTCCCCAGGAAGGGCAGGGTTATGGTAGGTAGGACCAGAGGAGGGACTGGTCATCCATTCAGCAAAGCAGGGGAGAAGGAAAACTCAGGGCAGCTACACAGGGGAGTGTAGGCGTGGTGGGGAAGTGAGGCTGTCCTTGGCCTTGGCTCCTCTTCTGTCACCGAAAAGGAAGTTAGGTGTGTGCATGGGGAGGACGGGGAGGTCTGAGGAGGGAAGAAGGTATGAAAAAGCTGCCTTGGGGAGTGAGAACACAGACTTACTGGGGAAGCCACACACAATGTGAAACACTTCACAGAAGAGAAGCAGGACACAGGGACACTGAATGAGGAAAAGCATCTTAAATGGAGAGAGATAAGCTAGGTTTTTTTTTTCCTTAAATCCTAGTCGTGTCTACAAGTACAGCCATGATAAGGCTGTAGGACCACAACAAAATTTCCTACTGGCTGCCCTTTCCTGGTTCTTTCTCCACCATCCAACTCAACTCTCAGAAAGAATGACATTGGTTCTATTTTCGGTTAAAATGGCTCCCTCCACCCCCCTCTGTCTAAACTGCTTATCCAGCCCTAGCTCCATCTCAATTTACAACCGTGGCTTGCTTGTGCACTCCCATAAATTATAGAAATGGATATATTAAAAATGGCAGAATTAGGTAGGAGTTACAAACCAGCCCTTACCTATAAGAAGTGAGTAATAAGACATTTATGGATGATATTAAAATTACATGAAAGACATATTCCACATTTAAATAAAATCCCTAAGCTACTCCTCCCTGTTTCTCCACAACTAAAATTATTTTCTAACATTTTCTTTAAGCTTTTATGAGTAAACATTTTCATTTCCACAGAACTATTTGATCTCAACCGGTCAGTGTTTCAATACTTGTTTTTGATCACGCGTGTCTTACGTTGGTTTTGTGTTGGCTGGGGGGTGGAGAAGGGACAGGGAGTTAAAATTACCAGATCCCTTTATCTCCATCTTGGGATCTACATTTGTCAACTCCTTCTTCCTGTACATTTTTTTAAAACTATGAAATCTGAGAGCTGCAAAGATTCCCACTGCTCAAAGAGCAGCCCTTTCACAGTCTACCAAAGGGTCACTGGAAATGTTTCAGTAAGTCTGCTTCCCAGCTGGACTGCCCCTGGCAAAATCTCCCAGTTTCTGTAGAGGAGAAACCTTTTAGATCTGCACCAGTGTCTTAAGCACGTCTCCTGGCCCCTCTCTGTCCTCCTGTCCTGTCATGTTGGTCCATACTTCCCTTCCTCAGAATTCCTGTTGGCCTGCCTCTGGTTCCTTCAAGCACTATGCAGACCCCACAGATAAAGTTCATTAGGTGAAATGACTCCAGAAACTTTTCCAGAGCAAGGCACAATAAAGCCACTGACCCACGGGAGCTGGGTCCAGCCCCCAGGACAACCTTGCCCCTTTCCCATCCTCACCCATTCCATACAGGAAAGCAAGATCTCTAGACCCATGGAGCACAAGTCTTTGGGTCATGATAAGGACTGCAGGAAGGATGCTAAGCTCAGCAGCAGGGGACATAGAGATTGAGGAAATCTGGTTCACTTGCAACCCCACTCCTCAGTCTGTGGCTTCCTGCTGCCCACCCAGTGTCCCTCTACAAATGCTAATCAGCTGCCCAACCTGGGGGAAGTTACCGAACCACTTCAGGCCTCAGTTTTCTCATCTGTGGAACGGGCATAATAACCGTTCCCTGAACACTGACGGCACACACTCCAAGCACTCACATGGGGAGAGCAAATGTAAGGAGTTAACTGTTATTAGCACAGTGGCTCTCTGACTCACAGCACCTACTACCCTGAGAGACGCTGGGAGAAATCAATCCTGCTTTTTAAATTACTTTATGTACTCAGAAGCATTAGTCACTTCGACAGAGTATTGCAACTTCTCTCCTGAGCATCTCAGTTGTTTCGAAGACTAAAGCCTCGCCGAGCTCCTCACAGACTGCCATCATCCTCAGCCATCTCAAAGGAGACTCAAAAGTCCACCCTCCCTATGCTGGGGGGTTATTATTATCTCCTTTCCAGGAAAACTTGGATTTCCATGTTGTTTGTAATAAACCCAATTGTGAAGAAGGACAAACTGCTTCCTACACTCACAGGCCCTGGAGTTGACCGCGCCCGGGAACGAGGGGACCGCCGCATGGCCGAGGCAGCAAAGCTGGCCAGGAGGGGGTCTCAGCGAGGTGCCCGCCTTTGGAAAGGGCCGCGGCCCGGGCGGAGGGCGCGGGGTCGGTGGCATGCTAGCCCAGGCTCCAGGCGCAGGGGCTCTGAGCCGACGAGGGTGGCGGCCCGCAGCCCACCGGTGCAGCGGGCTCACTCACCCCATCTCCGGCGCTCTCCCGTGGCTGCTCCCACGGGGCCTCTCGCACTCGCTGTCCGCCCGCTCGCTCGGCAGCTGCTCCCCGCGCAGCACATGCGGTGGCCCGTGCGCGCCCGGCTCAGCCCCGGCGCTGCTCCATTCCGCGGGCTGTGCTGCCGCTGCCGCCGCCGCCAGGCGCGGACAGGCAGGCGGGGGCTGGGCCACCAGGGGCAGGGCAGTCGCGTTTGGGCGGTGCCCGCCCCGCCCCACTCCTTACGTAAACTAGTGGCCCCCAGGCCCCGAGCCCAGCCCAGGGGCAGCGGGGTGCCAGTGCACGGTGGCAAGCAGCCTCCCAGGCAGACCCCTTCCCTTTGCGATTTAGCGTCAGCGCGCTCCTGCCGCATGCCCAGGGGGGCTCCGCACAGTGCTGCCAGCGAGCATTCTGCCTGCCTTGTCCACCTGCAGTGGAGGGGGCTCTGGGGCTCCCCTTCGTTTGCAGGTGAGGGTACCGAGGCCCCAGGAAGGGGAATGATTTGCCCAAGGTCACACATTCAGATCAGAGTTAGGGTCTTCCGAAACCTAAGATGGGCAAGGCCATGCCGTTCAAAGCCCACCTCACCTTGCTGGCCACTGCCAGGCTGGGTGGCTCAGGGACCCATGAAAGCCCAGTTGGCAGGGAGGATCCTAACCTGATCCTAAGCAGATATTTTGGATTCTTCCCTAAGAAAAGATGGGATGGGAGCTCCCACCTAGAGGGAAATCAATTGCTTCTAAGGAAGCTTGGTCAAGCTTGTCCTTATATTAGAGCAAGGAAAACTGAGATGACAAAAGTGGACCTTAAATAAGGGCAGTCTCCTGATCCCCTTCCACAGATCGGGTCCTGAGTCCCTACTCAAGGCTGCACTAGGACTAACCCAACCTTCCCCCACACTCTGGGCCTTCCTGTACTTTTTCTTTATTGTACTTATTGTTAATAGTTTAATATGTCTCCCAGGCACATCTGCAAACTCTATGAAGCTACATCTTTCTGCTCATCATTATATCTCCAGTGCCTAGAACTGTGTCTGAAAGTCCTCCATAAATATTTGTTGAGTGAATGAATTAGTGAATAGGCCAGGCCACAGACACACAAAATTGGCCAGGGTCTGGTAAGATCAAGTTTAGAGCCAGGGGTGGATAAATGCTTGGTCTTAGAGGAAACTTATCTATCATAAACTGAATTCTAAAGACCAGGGCTGGGGGAGTTCCCGGTAGTGTCAAAGGGGAATAAATGGCAGATGCCAGCTCAGCTGGTGTAGAGGTACCAGAAGACAGCTTGGCTGGTGTAAGGGTACGGCGGGGCCAAGCATGTCCAAATTCTGCAGGAGCTTCATTTGCTGCACTGATGGAAAGGGCACACCCATGTCACCTTGGGAAGATTCGGGAACGCCAAACAGGTGGGGCTGGTGAATCACTGGGCTGCTTCACACAGTCATCAGAAAGCAGGGCAATGCTGGAGGGGGAGCCCAAGTGAGGTGGAATGCTTCCTGACGAAGTAGCTGTCACTCTGGGTAAAGCTCTCGTAACAGAGTGAGGAGGGGAAAGGGTTGACCAGACAAGGTTTGGAAATGGGGGCCCCTCCTGTCCCTGGTGGGGAGTGGCCTCCACCCCTCTCCTTTCATCCCCACCCCAGGCCCAGGAGCTTTCCTAGACCCCAGAGCCTTGTCCACGGTTCGGGGTTAATCCTTATCAGTAGTATTTCATCATCCTGAAATCTTCCCTAGAGATGGGCCACCTGATTTCCCTATCGGTGCCCCCACCCCCGCCGTCAAAGCCAACACAGTTACCCTTTTCCTGTGGAAAATCTCCCATCAACAGGGTCTCCATGGCCCCAGCTGTCAAGGGAGATGATGGTATAGTGTCTTCTTTCAAGAGGCCTAAAGTGAAGGAGACAGACAGAGATATTCCATGCTGGCTGGAGGCTGAGGTGAGGCCAAGGAGAGTCATTTTAGGCCAACACTTGAGTGTCCTTTTAGGCTGAGCAAGAGAAGCCAGCGAGAGGGGACAAGAATGAATACGTGGGAAAGAAGGGCGGGTCCTGGGGAAAATGGAGGGGTGAGCCTTAGAGAGGGGAGGAGGGCACAGCAGGGAAGGCGAGTGAGGTTGAGAAAACTTGCCTGGTGGGCTACTTTTCCTAAAGGGGACAAGGACACTTACTGAACATGCGTAAGAGAGACTAGAGATTTCTGCTGTTCTGTGTGGGCAACAGAGGCTTCCGGAATCCACTTGCGAGGCACTGCCAATCGGTCTGAAGACCATTCTGCACTCTAACTGGGCAGATCAGATCGCCGTGGTGGTTCACCAGAGCGCTCTATAAGCCCGAGAAACAAAGGAAACGGGGCAGCTCCACATGCGCCCTTCGTCTGTGCTGCCAACTAATCCTCTCAGGTGTCCTGGGCAGAAAAGTACTGTGCACCCCCTGTACCAAAGAGGGTAACTTCCACATCTCTGCTTCTCGTCTTTCAAAAGCTAGGTCCTAGAGGGATGACTGATTTTAGTCTGTGGCAGGGAAAATACAAGAGGAGCTAGAGCATCTTGTAATACCAGAAAGTAAGGCAGTGCTCAAAAAAAAAAAAAAAAAAAAACCACGAAAGGATGGGGGCATGTCAGAGGGACACAGGAGCCAACGGAAAGAGTTCCCAATGGCTAAAGCTGGAACATGTGAGCAACACAATAAATAACACTGTACAGGTTTATAATACAAAATATAAAATAAATATACCTAACTCCATACTGATATAAATTACTAAATAACTAGCGAAGAAACAAACCTTCCCTACATACAAATAATATGTGTAGAGTCTCTCACCTCCAGGTGGAATTTAACATTCCCACCCCTTCCCCCTCTGAGAGTAGGCTGATCTTAAGTGTCTTAGTGATTTGCTTCTAAAGAACAGAGTATGGGCCCTGGCCGGTTTGGCTCAGTGGTTAGAGCTTCAGCCCGTGGACCAGAGAGTCCTGGGTTCAGTTCCTGTTAAGGGCATGTACCTCAGTTGCAGTTTGTTCCTGGCCATGGTTGGGGTTGTGTGGGTGGCAACCAGTCAATGTGTCTCTCTCACATTGATGTTTCTCTCTCTCACTTCCTCCTCTCCCTCCTACTCTATCTGAAAATAAATGCAAAAAAAAAAAAAAAAAGTCTCCTCGGTTGAGGATAAAAAAAAAAAGAACAGAGTATGGGATGGGAAAAATAATAACTTTACAGTGGAAAAACTTGGCAGACACACTGAATAAGTAATCAAGGTTAGCATCACCAGAGATAAACCATGTTGATATCATGCACCCTCTGATAGGATGTGATGAAATGTATACTTCTTCTGGGTGATATTTTTTCTCTAATCCTATAACCCCAATCTAATCATGAGAAACACAGCAAACAAATCCACCCTGAGGAACATGCTACGAAATACCTGACCAGTACTCCTCCAAACTGTCAAGGTCATGAAAAACAAGGAAAGACTGAGAAACTGTCAGAGGCTAGAGGAGACTAAGGGGATGTGATGATGAAATGCACATGGGATCATGGAAAGATCTTAGGAGAAAGCAGAAACTGGTAAATTCCCAATGAAGGCTCGAGTTCAGTTCATAGTGATGTACCAGTGTTGGTTCCTTCTACTTGCCACATGATTATGTAAGATGTCAACAAGATGGGAAACCGAGTGAGGGGTATAGAAGAACTCTTTATTATCTTTGTAACTTTTCAGTAAATCTAAAATTGGACCAAAATAAAAAGTTTCTTAAAAAAGAAACTAGTCCTTGGAGTCTCCTGCCTACCAAATCCCCCAAGCAATCTAGTCACTGGCCACGTCAGAAAGGTAAGCATGTGAAACCCGGAACAAGTAACTCATCAGATGACATTAAAATTGTTTTCCTCACTCAAAGCAAGCCACTAAAATATGTGCTTCTCCTTTTTATTTTTACTCCTCACCTGGGGACATGCTTATTGATTTTAGAGCAAGGGGGAGACAGACAAACAGAGAGAGAGAGAGAGAGAAACATCGATGTGAGAGAGAAATATCAATCAGTTGCCTTCCCATATGCACCCTGACCTGGGATCAAACCTGCAACCTAGGCATGTGCCCTGACTGTGAATCAAACCCAAAGCCTTGTGTGTATGAGATGACACTCCAACTGAGTCACACCGGCCAGGGATGTACTTCTTCATTTTTTAACTACATCCCCCATTAAGAAATATACTTTACACAGCAACCCAGTACTTACTTCAATTTTATCTGCAGTTATATCTATATAAAATGGAAACAAAGTTATATATATATATATGTGTGTGTGTGTGTGTATATATATATATATATATATATGGGTGTGTGTGTGTGAAAGTTTTACAAAACAATTCTTATCCTCCTGCTTGCAAAGCATTCTGACATTTCTCATTCTGTTCTATTTTTAAAAGCTGTGCTGCTCACCCTGCTGGTGTGGTTCAGTGACTGAGCATCAACCTATGCATCGAAAGGTCACTGGTTCAATTCCCAGTCAGGGCACATGCCAGGGTTGCACACTCGATCCCTGGTGGTGGGGTGTGCTGGAGGCAGCCGTTCAATGTTAATGTTTCTCTCTCTCATCGATGTTTCTATCTCTCTCTGTCTAAAAAAATTAAATAAAAGCTGTGCTGCTCATAACCCACTAAATTGATTCAAAACCTATAATCTGTATTTTTTTTCTTCCAACAGCAAAATGAGGCTCACCATGTACACATGTAACGTGATCACTAGTGTGTTCAGACTTCTGATACTGCTGGTCCAGAGACTTAGAACATGTTTTTCTTTTGAGTGTAAGAGTTAAATCCTTTCAACTGCATCTGAAACAAATGTTTTACTGAAGCCATTAAATGGATAACTGTCGGGTATTGTACAGCTATTATATTTTTGAGGACTATACAGTAACAGAAAAATAATATTTCAACAAATATTGATCACTACTTCACATCTGGTACTTTGGTGCACACTAGCATAAAGTGCTCAGCAAAATAAATAGTTTTTCCATCATGGAACTATGAGACTGGGTACAATATATTAATCAGATAATCACACAAATATATAAACTTTGATCTGTGTGAATAAAAGAGTCCTAATTTACGCTGAGAGGGGTGGTGAATAATGTCTTCTTTG